ATAAAATGATCAAATTTTGTTTTATGAAAATTGTTCTCTCTAAATTGAGTATTTGGTTGGGGAAGAATAGATCTTAGATTTCTTTCAAACAAGGCATTAGCTGGAGAGTTAGATTTATCTAATGGAGTATTTCTAAATTCTAGAAGTGCCAAATAAGGATCTTTTTTTATCTAATGCACACTTCTTCAGAATTTTCTTTACAGTTTGAATTACTCTTTCTAACTGACCATTAGATTGTGCATAAAGAGGGGAATAAGTTTTATGTATGAAATCCCACGTCTTACAAATTTTTTTAAAAACCAGACTTGAGAATTCCGGACCATTATCAGTCATTAATATGTTTGGAATCCCAAACGAGCTTATTAATTATATTATTGCTAGTCAAATCTCTACCCAAATTTATAACTTCTACAAATTTTGTATAATAATCTACTATAAGTATATATGATTCGTTAAAAAGATGAAAAACGTCAGCACCTAGCTTATACCAAGGTCTCAAAACAATGTCATGGTAAATCATGGGTTCAGGTTGCTGTGAGTTTGATAAAGACTGACACACATGACAAGACAAAATAAAATCTTCTATATGTTTTCTCATACCTGGCCAAAAGAAAGAAAGTTGGGCTCTCTCAAAACACTTTTTCGCTGACATATAACCATAGTGTAATTTTATTGAAATTTCTTTACGTAATGATCTGGGAACTATCAATCTTTGACCCCTGAACACAAGTTAATCTATTTCTGATATTTCATCTTTGAATCTAAAGTAAAATTTGACACTCTCAGGACAATCAGCCATTCTAGATGGCCAGCCATTTCTTACAAGCCCTTTTAAAGTTTCCAATTCAGAGTCATTATTGGTAAAATTTACAATTTCTTGTTTTTTATGGGGAGTAACATTGATATTCATCAAGGTAAGACAGATTTGAGCTTCTATCTCTATGTCTATATTTTCGTCAAAAAAATTATTTTTACAAAAAGCTCTACTAAAAGTATCAGGGAAAATTAGTTTTTTACCAGGTTTTTATACAAGTTTAAAATTATACTTTCTGAGCTGGATGAGCATTCTCTGCAATCTAGGTGGACATAAATGCAATGGTTTTTTAATTATACTAATCAGAGGCAAATGATCTGTTTCAACAGTCAAATCCTTAATGCCATAAATAGGTATATTGAGAATAACGAGAAAGTCCAAACCAGACACTTAACATTTCCTTTTCAATCTGAGAGTACCTAATTTGTGTTTCAGTTAGTGCTCTTGATGCATGAGCACAAGGCCTACCCTCTTGCAAAAGCACAGCTGCCATTCCACTTTGAGAAGCGTCTTCTGAGACAGTTGCAGATTGTTTATTTACATCATAATAACTCAAACAAGGAGTACTTGACAAAATATTTTTTAATTTGTCAAAAGCATTATTTTCTGCATTAGACCACTGAAAAATACAATCTTTTTTAAGTAAAACCCGAAGGGGTGCTGTTTTTTCAGATAGGTTATCTATGAATTTACTCATATAAGTTATCATGCCTAAAAATCTCTGTAAATCTTTCTTGTTTTGAGGAGTTGGCATATCTTTTATAGGCTGAATTTTATCTTCATTTGGTTTTATACCCTATTTGTTATTATATGACCCATATGGCTTCAGTTATTAAAATTTTACATTTCTCTTTATTGAATCTTTAATTGTGCTTTTCTGCTAGAGACAGAATTTGACTTAACCTTGCATTATGCTATTCTACAGTGTCACCAAAGATTAAAAGGTCGTCTATATAAAAACTACAGCCCTCAACGTTACCAAAAATATCAAACATTCGCTCCTGAAATATTTCTGGAGCGCTACAAATACCGTAAGGTAATCTCAAAAACTGATACCTTCCAAACGGCGTAGCAAATTCACAAAGTTTTGAGCTTTCCTGATCTTACTTTACTTGAAGAAAACCCTGTGCTGCATCGAGGACACTGAAATATTTAGCACCAGACAATTTTGCTGTTAGTTCCTCAATGGTAGGTATTTGAAAAAAAAATCTTTTTATATTTAAATTCAAATCTTTAGGATCTAGAGCTATTCTAAGCTGTCCATTAGGCTTTCTAACTATGACCATGTTGTGAAACCAATCAACACAATCATCAGATCTTTTAATTAAATTTTGCTTTTCCAGCTCATCCAAAGTAAACTTTAATTTATCCCTAATCGCAAAATGTACTTTTCTAGGATAATTTAAGCAAGGCTTTGCGCCATCTTTAAGCTCTATGTGATATTCTTTTTTCAAACATCCCATACCCTCAAAAACATTTTTAAATTTTTTTAAAATATTGTTTACTTCAGAATTTTTATTTTTTAGACAATTATTATCTATTGAATCGATTCTTTTTATAAGTTCTAATTCTATACAGGCTTTTAGACCCAAGATAGGACTGTTATCAGCACTAACCACAAAAAATGAAAGATCAGATTGTTTATGCTTTGTTTTGCAATTTAAAACACAATAACTAATAATTGGAATGTTATGTTTTGTATAAGAAGTCAACCTTGTTCTTGTGTTTTGAATTTTAGATAAGTCAAAATTGATACTTTTAAGATAACTCACAGGTAAGATAGCCCCGGTGTCCAACTTAAATTCTAGGTGATGACCACTTATCTCCAGCTCCGTCACCCATGATGAACTTCCAGATACTTCACAGACCTGACTGGTACAAACTGAGGTGCTTGAAGTCACTGTCGATGAGTTACAACTGGTTACAATATCTACAAAAAGATAATCATTATATGTATCGATAATATCAGCAGAATCCTGATCAAGACAATTTATTTTTTTCTTGTTATATTAAATTTATTTGAATATCTATTTTTAAACTGAGTAGAATTTTGTTTATTTTTACAACAGGCAGAGAAATGATTCAGGAAACCACAAATCTGACACTTTTTGCCATAGGCTGGGCAATTTCCATAATCATGTTGCTTGGAACACTTGATACAGGTCTTCTGAACCATTGGAGGAGTTTTTCTTATCTCCATATCCATTCTTTGATGTACGTGCTCTGTAACCAGGAGGCTGCTGTTGTTGCACAAATCTAGGTGCTCTCCTAGGTGGTCGAGAACTGGACGAATATTGTAAACCATTTCGATAACTTCCTGGGCTGACAGCATCAATATCAACCTTCTCGTGATGATCCAAACCATTTGTAATCTGTCTATTTTGTTGTTTTGTGCTTTCCAAATTAACACAAATCTGGATTGCTTTCTCCAAGGTGGCTACGTCTTCTTGAAGCAATTTTTCTCTCAAGTTAGTTGAACGAAGACTACAAACTAGCATGTCTTTTATTGAGGACTCCCTTATGGTACCAAATTCACATGAAAGGGACAGATTTTTTAATTCAGTAATAAATTGATCTACAGTTTGACCTTTCCTTTGTCTATAGGTGAAAAAACGATGTCTTTCAAAGGTCAATTTTTTTTTAGGGTTAAAATGTTCATCAAATTTTGTTTCCAAGTGCTCTAAGGTTTCAGTTTCACCTTCTGGCCAATTAAAAGTATTATAAATTCGAATACCTTCGTCTCCAATTAGAGTAAGTAGCTGAGCACATTTTGTTCCATTGTCCTTTTTGACGATTTCTGTAGCTTTCAGGTAGGTATTAAATCTCTGCTTCCAGAATTTCCAATTTTCGGATAGATTACCATTCATAATCATTGGGGGAATTCCTCTAAAATCCATTATTGCTTCTTATAATTCCAAATTTCCATGCGGTTTCTACAAATTAGCTGGGAATGTTGCTTTTTTTTCTCCTCTTTTTTTTTTATTCGTAGGTATCGTACTGCGCCATGTGTTTTATTATTTTAATGAAACTACTGGGTCTGGTTGTGGTTGGCAACTGCCAATACTTTATTAGAAGGTCGTGTACCTTTTTACAAATTCAATATTTTATAAATTACAATGTTGCCATTGCTACAAACAACATATTGAAATTAGACCACCAGAAATCAGTGCCGGAAGCCTGCAGAAGTCATCATGCTAAACAAAGCAGGAAACAACACAAAGCTTCAACAGAACTATCGCCCCATAAGCCTCTTCGGTAAAATATCAGAGAGTGCTATCAAATCTAGGATCGTACATGAAACTGAAGACCTAGAATTGATTCCAAATGAACCATTCAGATTCAGACAGGATATATGACTGAGTTGCAGGGCTCCAGAATAGTCGAATACATCGCCACCGCTACAGATTTTATTGGGCGAAAACAACTGGAATGTCATGCTAGATGTTGAACGATAATTCGAAAAAGTCTGGCATGATTCACTCATTCACAAGATGTTTAAAGCAAGCTAACAAGCCAGAACTTGCATTTTGAAAAGTGATTCAAAATTACCTGAGAGGTTAAACCTTTGCTGTGAAGACTGGCAAATCACTGGCGAATCACTCAAGAACTAAAGAACTGAAAAATGGTGGCGGCGCTCCACAAGAGTCCGTTCAATCCAACGATTAATTGCCTATCTGAGAAGGTTGATTTCTACAAGGATCAGGATCTAACCCAATTGACAGGTCACGAGAGGCATCGTCGGTGAATATCACACTACCTTGTGTCTCGGAACCATCTTTGCCAAAAAAAGGGAAAATAAGACGAGAAGGAATTTAAAATTGGACAGTAAGCCAATCCGTGTGCTCCGCATTTTTTAATTAAATTGAGAAATTAGTTTAGCATCGTAAAGCAGTTTTGTATTGTATTAGATTCTAATTAATTTTAGACCAAACATTGAGAAAATAGTATAGGTACCTAATTGTTTTTATTCTTAGACAATAATTATTACAACACATCGATTATATACTTATTATTTTTTCTTTGTTAATTAATTTTAATCCGCGGTCTTAGCTATACGTTCTAATCCAATGCACAAGCACATTGAATTTAAATGCATCTGGTTAATGTCCTATTTCTTATAAAAATAAAATGTAATAGAAGGTCAAACGGTGCAGCAGGGTATATTTCTTTCTTATGCATTTATTATGTCTTGAAAAATCACAGTCAGTGTCAAGAGGTACATTCTAATAGTAGTTCCCACTTTTGCTCTGCCTTTAGTACTTTGGTGCACCATGAATCGTTTACTGGTAGGTAAGAACACAGATTGTACTGAAATCTTTTAAGCTTTATACAAAGTATAGGCTAAGGCTATGAACCAAATACAATATTTTCAATTTCACGATCACGATCCTAATTATTTGTATAAAAAAACTAGTTTTGCTTCTACTTTACGTAAAGGTACTTACTTACTTTACGCACTCTTCAAAAGACGCAAAATTAGGTATATTTCACGCCCTATTGCGTCAAGAGAGTAATTCAATTGCTGCCCTTTTTTAATTAAAAATGTGATATTTACTTTACACCCTAGGTTGTGACGTAAGTTACTTATACATTAGGGCGTGAAGTTGCATATATTTCTTTAAATTTATGGTTGTATATTATCAGTAGTGGAAAAAAAATTGTATGTAACATGTGTGTAAAGCCCCTTTGTTCACTCATAGGATTGTCAAAATTCACATTCACACACTTGTTGCATAAATAGTTTATATTGCATAAGTATTTTTTTTAAATATACTTTTCCAGATATTTTTGGGCTCAGTATTTATTGCATTGTCATCAGCACTGCCCTCTGACCGATGGCCTAATGTATTACATGACAAGCCTCAACTAGTTGTCATAAGCCCTACCACAGAACACAGTAAGTTTATTTAACATTGTTTATAAAAGAAAACTTTTTAAAACTTCCCGATTTCCCAGCTGCAGTGATTTACCACCACGATATAGCTCCCAAAAAAGACACAATTTTCCACCATCCTGGAATCGGACAAATCTACCCTCCACCACTTGAACTTCCAGGGCCACCGCCATCACCAAAAAAACAGCATAATCGCTATGATGAAAAAGTGTTGCGCAAACACTACAATGATTATTTGAATAAAAAAGTGGCGTTCAAGAAAAATCTTATCGAAAAGGCTGTAGTCACAACTGTAGATGTTGCTGCAAAACTAGCTCAAAAGACTGTAGACTTCGTATCTCGGATTGCCATAGATACTGCAGCAAAATTGGCCAAAGGTGGTGCAAAGAATGTGATTCATAAAAAACAGGAGAAGTTATTTATTCCTACTAACCACCATGGCATTCACTACTAAACTCGATTAAACTGTAAATATGTATATTTTTTTTAAAATTATGTTATGCTAAGTATAGTGTCTGGCAAAGAAAAAAGACAAATTTAAATTTAATCCAATACATTTTTATTTCAGATGTATGTACATATTATGTAATTAAGAGTAGAATAATTTAGATTTGTGAACTGTAGCTAGTCATTTTACACACTTCATTATATTATGCTATAAATAATAAATTGATAAAAACATGTATGTTTTGTGATATTTCGCCAATATTCTCAATATACCAATTAGTGGAAAAAAAGGTTTGTTCATCAATGATAACCTAATTTGTTACACGAATGTTATCGAAATATAAATGTTGCTGGAAAGATAATGCGTGAGTACGAACAGATTTTTCAAGAGGAGTAGAGGACATATCAAAATACAAATAAGCAGCAGTATCTTTGGCAGCAGGTACCGTTGTCTTGTTTTTTCATTCAACGTTTTTTCATCACCTATCTACTTTTTTTTTAATGACTTAATATTTCTCCGATTACATAGTACCATGGTCGAGGTCGAGACCATCGTCCATGACAGTCGGGTTTCCCCGAAGTTTTTAAGGAGCTTGTACTAGACCTAGGTTAACGTCGAAGGGTTAATATTTTTATAAGAAGTTGGCTACATTTTTTAATTATTTAAGGAGTTTCGTTGTTTCGTGGATAATAAATATCCGGTTTATGAAGAAGAAACCCTTTATACTGAACTAAATATAGGTACCATCAGAGTAAAGTTGGTGAATCAAGTAGCAAAATTTTGCGAAGATACCGCAGGGACGCCAAGTCAATTTTTAAGCAACCTGAATTCGTATTTTACTTCACCTAATGCTCGGTTATAGAATCAAAACTCAAATACTTCCTCAATTTAAATTAATATTGACAATTGGACTTAAAAGACTGTATATATTATTGTATGTTATTTCAAAATAATAATTGATGTAGCACAGCTTTTAGAAAAAATGCTATGGTGATTTGTTACGGGATTATTTTTCCCCCTTAGGTAAAAGTACCCCCATCTAGAAATTTATTACTAAGTTATCACTACAGTTTTAATTTCGCTATGTTTCAGTACCATCTAAGAATAATTGTGGTTATTTATTTAAACATTTCATATTATATTGTCGCGGCTTTGGGTTGCCTGCTGACAAAAATCTTGGGTTCGTTGTTCGTTTCGTTTAGTCCAAAAATCAAAGTCTAATTAACACAGCAATAATTTATTCCACTTAACAAAACACTCTGACACTAATTACTTTATTAACAAACTCAACAATTAAACTCTTTACAATCACTATTTAAATCGTATCACACTCGAACTGAAACTTAACTTACAAACCAATGCCGGCCTTCTTATATATCCCTAAATCTATTCCTGTGAAATCTAGAATACACACGAAAATCTAATTTTCCAGATTAAAGTAGAATAATTCGCTAGATTCTAGTATTTCCGCGATCGATTCTTGACAGCCTGGCGGACGTTTAGCTTATTGTGACACTGCCCTCCTCTTAAGGTTGATCGTCCCGATCAACTTCACGCCCATGATATTTCGCCAACCTGTCCAGATGTACAACTTTCATCTTATTCCTGGTGTTGCGCTGGACTCGATAAACCAAATCATTGATCCTCTTGATTACTCTATAGGGTCCTTCCCATGCTGAAGACAATTTCGGTGATACTCCTTTCTTCCTTACTGGGTTATACAACCACACTAAATCACCTTCATGAAATCCGACCGAATTGGCCTTCAAGTCGTATCTGGTCTTCATTCGGTCACTGGCTAGTTGAATATGCTCCCGAGCAAAATCATGGATACCCAGAAGTCGTGCCCTTACTTCGTCGGCATAATCTCGGATTTCTCTTCGTTCTTCTTCGGGTACTCCAAACATCAGATCACAAGGTAGCCTGAGTTCCCTTCCAAAAACAATTCTAGCCGGACTTTCACCTGTTGAATCGTGAACAGCCGCTCTGTAAGCCATTAAAAAGAGAGGCAAATGCTTGTCCCAATCTCGTTGGTTCTTTGCGACCACTTTTTTCAGGTGTTCCTCTATGGTCTTATTGAATCGTTCTACCATGCCATCAGACTGAGGGTGTAAAGGTGTTGTCCTTGTCTTACGAATGCCCATGATCTCACAAACTTTCTTAAAGATGGCAGATTCGAAGTTTCGTCCTTGGTCTGAATGTAACTCTAGTGGCACACCATGACGACTAAAAACTTCGTCCACTAGCACCTGGGCAACAGTGATGGCTTCTTGATTGGGAATAGCGAAAACTTCTGGCCATTTACTGAAGTAATCCATGATAACTAAGATGTATTTGTTACCACGCTCTGACTCTGGGAACGGTCCTGCTACATCTATCGCTATTCTCTCAAATGGAAGACCAACGTTATACTGTTTCATGGGCCCCCGAGATCTTAGTTTAGGGCCTTTACTGGTAGCACAGATGTTGCATTTTCGGCACCAGCTTTTAACGTCTTCATGGTAGTGAACCCAGTAAAAACGTTCCCGAATTTTGTCCAAAGTCTTGTTAACTCCGAAATGTGCCCCTGAGGTTCCGTCGTGTATTTATTTTAATACATCTTCCACTCGGTCTTTTGGGATAACCAGTTGGCTCTTAGTGGATTTCCCATCGGCACTTTCCCAAACTCTTTTGAGCAAACCATTTTCTACAGCCAGAGAGTTCCATTGGGCCCACAACGCTTTGTAAATCAAGCTCTTGTTTGACACTTCCCTCCATTCTGGCCTACATTCATCGTTTTCTTTAAGATGTAGAATTTGCCCGATGTCCTGGTCTGCCTCCTGATCTTCTCTCATTTGCTTGGTAGTCCATTTATCATCGACGATCAGGCCCGTTCTTCTTACCGCTGGACTAGTGTTTTTCTCATGTATATCGATTCTTTGACAATGTTTGCAATCTTCTTTACATGGCCGTCTAGACAGAGCGTCAGCATTTTTATGTAGGTTTCCAGGTCGATGTTTAATTTGGAAATCGTATTGCTGCAATTTCTCAATCCATCTAGCAAGCTGTCCTTCAGGAGTTTTCATTTCTAAAAGCCATTTTAGAGCTGCGTGATCTGTTCTAATTAGAAACTTGCGTCCGTAGAGATACTTATGAAAATGGTCGACTGCTTTTACTATGGCAAGCAACTCTCTTCTGGTGACACAATAATTTCGTTCCGGCTTTGATAATGTTCTGCTGTAGTACTCCACGACATGTTCTTGTGAGTTTTGGATTTGTGAAAGGACAGCTCCAACACTGGTGTTACTTGCATCTGTGTCCAAAATCAACATGCCTTTGTAATCAGGATAGGACAACACTGGGCTCGTAGATAATGCTCCTTTCAATTTTCTAAATGCGGAATCGCATTCTTGGGTCCAATTGAATGTTGATTTTTCTTCTGTCAATCGATGAAGTGGAGCAGCTATTTTGGCGAATCCTTCCACAAATCTTCGATAATAAGAACATAATCCTAGAAAACTCCTTAGTTCATGTTTGTCGCGTGGTTTTGGCCAGTCCCTGACAGCATCTATTTTTCCTTCCATAACTTGTATGCCCTCTTCAGATACCACGTGACCCAAGAATTCCACTTTCTTTTGAAATAGGAAACACTTATTTGGATTGAGTTTCAAGTTGGCATTCCGGAAGCGGTCAAAAATTTCTTTTAGGTTATTGAGATGTTCTTGGAACGAATTTCCCATAATCATGACATCATCCAAATATACCAGGCAAGTTCTCCATGTAAGGCCTCGCAAAACAAGATGCATCAGTCGCTCAAACGTAGCTGGAGCATTACACAATCCGAAAGGCATTACATTAAACTGGTATAGTCCGCTATTGGTACTGAAGGCAGTTTTCTCTTTGTCATCGTCATGTATTGCCACTTGCCAGTGTCCACTTTTGAGATCCAAGGTGGAAAACCATTTGGAACCCGATAGAGTTGTTAGTGTATCGTCTATTCTTGGGAGAGGGAAGCTGTCCTTCTTGGTGACGTCATTAAGCTTTCGGTAGTCCACACAAAATCTAAGACTCCCATCTTTCTTCGTAACCAATACTACTGGCGCGGACCATGGACTATTTGACTCTTCAATGATTCCCTCTTGAAGCATTTTATCAATTTGGTTTTCCACTTCCTGTTGCTTCGCTACTGGCATACGTCGTGGTGGTTGTCTAATTGGGTGTGCCAATCCAGTATCAATTTTGTGTTGAATTAAGCTGGTTCGGCCGGTTTGATTGTCCATCACAAATACGTCTGCTTCTTTCAAAATGAAATCTGTGGTTTCTTGAAGTCTATCTGGATCGAGATGTTTCCATGATTTCGCCAAGGTCTGCATCAAGGTGTCTGTATCTAATTTGGATTTCACAAAATGTCGCTTATCTGGTAGGTCACAGTTCGATATTTGCTTCACTGGTTCGAGAGCTCCAATAATGTCTCCTTCTTTTATTCTTACTGTTTCGGAAGAAACATTGGCAATTCTTATCATAATGTCTCCATTTGTTCTTACTAGGGTCTTTCCAACAAGATATCTTTCTGGTTTATCTCCAATGAAATTACGTGTTAGCCCAACGCAACACCCAGGGTTTGTTTCTAATTTTCCGCAAATGATCTTCTCAGTACTTCCAGGAATCCTTACTGGGGTTGTGGCCAGGATCTTAACGGCATCGGATTCTTCTTGTGTTGTTAGGATAATTTCTTCATTACCAAATTTAAGGATGTAGGATGTTCATGGAAGGATCAAAAGAGAAACCATGTTGGCCGATCAAATGCATTCCCAAAATAAAATCATCTTCTATATCGGCGACTAATGTTTTGTGCCTGAAGGTGGTAGATCCAAAAGTGAGCTCAACCATAGCTTCTCCTTGAACTGCTGCAGATTCGCCGGTGACTGTTCGTAGTGACAGGTTTTTAGTGAGCGGTTGGATTGCCCGAGACTTGACTAATGTTCTTTTAATTATGGAAACTTCAGCACCCGTATCAAAAGTAATGGTTTTCAATTCTCCATTAATTTGTCCTTCGAATTTTAATCCTCTATAATGACTGCCCAATGATTTTATGTAAACAACCCTGGGGGCTTCGTCATTACTAACCAGCATTCGCCCCTCCATACTCGTTAGTTCTCGTTTCCCTGTCTGTTATTAGGGCTGGCGTCTCTCGATCTCGAAAAGCGTTGGAAACGATCCCTTTATGGAGAGGACATCCTCACTCTACAATCTC